TTCCACTGTAGATACAGTCCATTTTGCCCTATTACAAGTAATGGTCCTTTGAGCTTTGTGTATGGGCATTTTGGTGAACATATGTATGACTTTCTGTTAGGATTTTACATGAAGGATTCAGCTTCAGTGGGTGTGCCCAGTGTTCTAAAGTGGTTGTGCCAGTTCACATGCCCACTTAAAGCCTTTTGAGAGTTCCAGTGTCTCCACATCCTTGTCAGCACTTGATACTGTCGCTTTCATTTTAGTCAACTTGGTTGTCATGTAGTAGAGTATTATGGTGTCAATTTGTACTTCTCTGATGATTCCTGAAGCTGATTATTTTTTCATATGTTTATTGGCCATTTAGATATTCACCTTTATGAACCATAATTCTTTTCCAGTTTTAGCTTTAGTTGAAAAGTATTTCTGAGAATAGCTCTTGTACTGGCAAACTGTTTTCATTCCCATCTGGGTGATGAGTTCCAAAGCCTCAACATTTGGCAGTTCGAAGAAAGGCCCCAAAGCCAAGGGGTGTGAGAAAGAAGAGTCAGGGACGGGCCCAGCCAACTTTGGACATTCTTGGAGCTCTTCAAGTTCCACAGCTGGGGCAGGAGCTGAGGGGCTTTCTCTGTGCATTTTGTACCATCTCTCTGGGAGATTACTTGTACTTCATATTTAGAACTCCCAAGGTTCTCTGAACTCCAGCCCCATTTCCTTCCTTTGGAACTTAGGCTCTAGATTGATTTCAATGACTAAAGAGAGGTGAAGGTAAGAGACATGCTCTCCTTCTTCCCTTCAGCCTCTAATTGGGCAGGAACACACAGGGAGCTGGGTTTGCTAACAAGACAGTGCACTTTGGGCCTGGAGGACGTGTTCTGTTCCCAGAGCAATAGCACGATGAAGAAATCTCTTAAGCTCTGGCAGTGATTATCAGACTCTAACAGCTCCGTTTTCCTGATGCAAGGTGGGGGACGGGGAGAAGAGCTGGGTATAGGGTATTGCTGGAGGACAGATGAGGACACGCTCATGAAGGGAAGGTCAAGTGTTGGTCTGAGCACAGTCATACCCTGACCAGTGGGGCTGGTGAGCAAATGGCCTTCTGGGCCTGGAAGATGGGGCATGCAGGGCTTCCCTGGCTAACCTCACACTGTGTATCGGTATACAGTCTCTATATATCTGCCTATTCTTCGCATTTCATATCAATGGATGATATTATTATTCAATAATACATTTTTTGAAAGAGGATATGAAAATGAAAGTGTTTGAAGCCACTGACACTCCATGCAGATAGCCCAGGATACGGCCTTGGTGGAGGAGAGCTGGCCATGTTTTTGTACATGGCTTCTGACGCATGAGCCAAGTCCCTTTGAATTCTGATACCTCATCTCATTAACTCTGCAGTTCTGGTTAAATGAAAATTTCTGTGAAACACACTGTCAACCATAGTCCCATGCCTTCAGCTATTATTCTTACTCTTTTGTTAGTATTTACCACTGATGACAATAACCAGGTGTCCTCAAACTATGGCCCG